GAAATGAAAGAAAATGGAGTGGGATGGTGGATCTAGGGTGCAGACCTACCTTTCTATCCTATGCTTCGACGCGCAGTTCTCGAGAAAGGGAAGCGCTGGCTTTCGTTTTGCAGCTTCTCAGGTTGAAACAGAAACTCTCCCAAAACGGTGGACCAAACCAATTGGGGAGGTTTATGTCGAGATTTTGGAATTTTGGACCATTAGGTCTTTTGAATTGGAGGCCCCGAGGCTGAACAAACTAATCGGGTGAACATCCTGCGTTTACATTGTCTTAAACTCTCAAGCCTCTATCAGGAGAAATCAGAGACTCCAAAGACCCAGCCAGGATAGGTCAGGATAGGGCACCCTGACTCGGCAGGCGTATTTGGGCGTCGAATTGTGGTCTAAGTCGGCCATTTAAAGAATTGTCTTTTGGTTGAATTTCCTTTACTTCAGTGGTGCAAAGTATAGTCTTTGGACTTCGGTGATACAAATCTATGTATCATTTACCGTGGATTGAAAGACTCAATTAATCTCCCATTCGAGTCTGTGGATGTTTACCTTTTTGATGTCCTTGCATGATCAGCCCTCTTTACAAAACAAATCACGCAATGAGGAACAAAGGAACATATAACACACAAAGTGTGACAGAGCAGAGCACAAGCCTTGTGATGACCCTCTCATGTATGCATAAAACATACCAACAAGTCTTGTCATGAAACAAAACTTAGACCCCTGGGTCCGAACAATCGTCTAACTCAGAATCCAGCACGGCTATCTCCAAGGATCCTGGTGGCGATCTCCCTCCTTCTGCAGTTTCTCCTACCCTTGAAGGGTGTCACCGTCGACGTGGGCCATGAACAGCTGTGGTACCGCGCGCGGCTCCGGGCTACGGCAGCGTCGCGGCTGGAAGTTTCTGGCCAGGTGGCCACATTAGACATTTGGCCACGTGTGGCCATGGCGCCACAAATCAAAAGCATAGTTTTTTAAACGTACAACAAGCTAATGTAGGTTCATGCAGCTGCACCAAAGACCCAGCAGTTCTTCATCGATTGGATTCGCCTTCGTCCCCTTTTTCAGGCTGTTCACAAGCCATCCCAACTCCCAGAAGAAGGCCCCACTCTGTTCCTGCCCACCCGCCCACCATCCCAACGGCGGTCAGGCAGAAACGTCCCCACGTGGCTGTGGGTCATGGCACCTGGGCATCCTGGTTGACCACCGAAAACGAACAGATTCCTCGAGAACCTGGATCCACAGACCGAACCAGGTCGGTACGGTAAAACACGGAGACTATTGATGTAGGCTTGGAAAGCCCAGTTCTACCGAACCTGAGAAGGTATGTGGATCCATTTTGGGTATAATGGATGTCTTCCATTGTTTGGTGGGTGGGGTGCCATGACCCACAGCGCCGCGAGACAGGTGCCCATGCACTTGACCTTGGCCTACTTGAAGCCCAAGCTTCGCGGAACACCTTTCGAACGATCTCACTTGGAGCCGGTGCTCAATGGTCTCAACGCCGCCATGGTGTGCATCATCGTATCTCGAAAAAAGAGGGAAGAAGAAGCTGAGCATGTGTTTTTTTTTCAAGTGGTGAAGCAGCCCAACAAATTGGGCAGCAATAGAATGCTATGTGCCAGGAGTCACAAAGGGGTGCCTATTGGAGGTTAGGGTCCACTCACTTAGGGACCAAACACCGCCCCTTTGTGACCCCTGGTGCACTCTCCTACCATCTCCTACCATTTAAAAGAAAGATTGAGCCTCTAGCCTGGAATCCCTATATGCAAACAATGGTTGTTGGGGAAAAACAACAAGAACATTAAATCAATGGGGGTTGGGATTCAGGGCGGGCGTTGTTCCCTTGGGAAGTCTTTTAGTTCAGAAGTTCAGAATCTCCACTATAGTATAACGTACTATACTGCTTGGTTCCTCACCGTTTCAATGGACGCGACCGCACTGACTCCAAGACCATCCATCACATGCTTTGAGCTTTTCCAGAGCTCGGTTCTCAAGCTTTCAGAGCTGTCTTAGATGGTCTTAGTCTTGACATGTCTTGACAGATACAACTGCTAGGGCTCCAGTCGTACCTCCTCAGAAGGTATACGACTACTGGACCCTCCAAACCCTTCCCAAACACCTAAGAAGGTACGACTGGAGCCCTATAGGGGCCAGCAATTCCATGTCGGGATGCCTATTGGAGGCCTTCCGGTTTTGCCCCCTGTGCACCTTCACTCCCTCCAGGGTCCAAAGAGGCTCGACCCCCCCAAAAACCACCGAAAACTCCGGAACTCTTGGTGGTATAGACAGGCCCCCCAAAGCATCCACCAAAATCATCAGATCGCATAGGGTGGCCCCGTGGCGGGCTTTGGTTGCGCTTTAGGTTTGGTCCCTGGACCGTCAGTGGCGCACCAGCGGCGTGCGCGACGCCCTGGACGCCCTGGAGAGCGACGCCGCGTCGGACGCTGGGAGTGAAAGGGCGTGTCGTTTTTTCCCGAATGCGTAGCGAAGGGTTCTCGTTTAACTCTTGGGGGTCTGGGGGTAGAGCCTTGTTCGTGACCCGTTGTTTCTAAGTTCGCAACCGTCCGCAACCGTTCGCAACCGTCCGCAACCGTCCGCAAGTGTTCGCAACCGTTCGCGGTAGAGCGCTAAGGCGCCGCCATTGGGGGAAGCTTTTGCAAGTGACTTTTCATGGATGTCACGTGTTAGTTTGCGCCGCTATTCCATTGTGATTTGCATGAAAAAGACATGTCGCGCAAGCAACGTGATGCGTTTCGCTGCACAGGCGCAACGCTTGGTGAGATCTGCAGATTGCTGCGCAGTTCCATTGAGATTAGCGTTTGGAGAGTTGTGTTTTTGGGGTGTTGGATGTGGCCGTGCCATTGGGATTTGCGTTTCAGGGTGTGGCATCGAAGCTCTGTTTTCGTAACAAGTCTCAGCTGAAATGCCGATTTTGGTGGATGGCAGTGTGCTCAGAACGGGTCGAAGTCATTCCAAACGTGTGGTGTGGTGCAAATTTTGTTGAAGCTCACATGAGATGACATTGTTACTTTTCGTGGCAGGCGCAGGACTTTGTGCGGGTTTTGAGCTGTGGAAGTGGGATTTTCGTGGCAGGCGCAGGGAATCGTGAGGTTGCGATGTGTGATGGAGGTGACATTTCGTGGCAGGCGCAGTACTTTGTGCGCGTTAGACGTGTGGACGCGGAAAGATTCGTGGCAGGCGCAGGGAATCGGGAGGTTGTGAGTTGTGGTAGAGGTAGAGGTGAATGTCGCTGTCACATTGGGATTGGCGTGTGAGCGGGTGTCGTTTGGAGGGGCTGGAATCGCAAAACTGCTTGGCAGGGCTGCGTGATGTGTGTGCTCCAATGGGTGTTTCCGCTGGACTTTTGGAGGAAGTCTCGTGCGAAACGTTCGTTTTGCAGACTTTGACATGTGAGTTTTTGAGGAAGTCTCGTACGAAACGCTCGTTTTGGAGACTTGACGTGTGACTTTTGGAGGAAGTCTCGTCAGAAACGCTCGTTTTTGAGACTTGACGCGTGACTTTTGGAGGAAGTCTCGTACGAAACGCTCGTCTTGCAGCCTCGCAGCGTGACCTTTGGACGACGTCTCGTACGAAGAGTGTGCCCTACAGGAGTGTCCCACAAGAGAGTGTCCCACAAGAGTGTCCTACAAGAGTATCCCACAAGAGTTTCCTACAAGAGTGTCCCACAAGAGTGTCCCACAAGAGTGTGCAACAAGAGTGTCCCGTAAGAGTGTCCCACAAGAGTGTCCTACAAGAGTATCCCACAAGAGTTTCCTACAAGAGTGTCCCACAAGAGTGTCCCACAAGAGTGCCCCACAAGAGTCTCCTACAGGAGTGTCCCACAAGAGTGTCCCGTATGCGTGTCCCACAAGAGTGTCCCGCATGTCCCACAAGAGTGTCCTACAAGAGTGTCCCACAAGAGTGTCCCGTAAGAGTGTCCCACAAGAGTGTCCCACAAGAGTGTCCCACAAGTGTGTCCCACAAGAGTGTCCGACAAGAGTGTCCCATAAGAGTGACCCACAAGAGTGTCCTACAAGAGCGTGCAACAAGAGTGTCCCGTAAGAGTGTCCCGCAAGAGTGTCCTACAAGAGTGTCCCACAAGAGTGTCGTACAAGAGTGTCCAGTAAGAGTGTGTCACAAGAGTGTCGCACAAGAGTGTCCCGCAACCATGTCCCACAAGAGTGTCTCACAAGAGTTAAGAGTGTCCCACAAGAGTGTCCTATAAGAGTGTCCCACAAGAGTGTCCCACAAGAGTGCCCTACAAGAGTGTCCCACAAGAGTGTCCTACAAGAGTGTCCCACAAGAGTGTTTCACAAGAGTATCCCACAAGGGTTTCCTACAAGAGTGTCCTCTCAGAGTGTCCCACAAGAGTGTCCCACAAGAGTGTCCTACCAGAGTGTCCCACAAGAGTGTCCCGCAAGAGTGTCCCAAATGAGTGTCCCACAGGTTTCTCACAAGAGTGTCCCGTAAGAGTGTCCCACAAGAGTGTCCCACAAGAGTGTCCCGCAAGAGTGTTTCAAATGAGTGTCCCACAGGAGTGTCCCACAAGAGTGTCCCGCGACAGTGTCCCGCAAGAGTTTCTCACAAGAGTGTCCCTTAAGAGTGTCCCACAAGAGTGTCCCGCAACAGTGTCCCACAAGAGTGTGTCCCACAAGAGTGTCCCACAAGAGTATCCCACAAGAGTGTCCTACAGGAGTGTCCCACAAGAGTGTCCCACAAGAGTTTCCTACAAGAGTGTCCCACAAGAGTGTCCCACAAGAGTGCCCTACAAGAGTGTCTCACAAGAGTGTCCTACAAGAGTGTCCCACAAGAGTTTCCGAGAAGAGTGTCCCACAAGAGTGCCCCACAAGAGTGTCCCACAAGAGTGTCCTACAGGAGTATCCCACAAGAGTGTCCTACAAGAGTGTCCCACAGGAGTGTCCCACAAGAGTGTCCCGCAAGAGTGTCTCACAAGAGTGTCCCACAAGAGTGTCCCACAAGAGTGTCCCGCAACAGTGTCCCGCAAGAGTGTCTCACAAGAGTGTCCCGTAAGAGTGTCCCACAAGAGTGTCCGGCAACAGTGTCCCATAAGAGTGTCCTACAAGAGTGTCCCACAAGAGCTTCCTACAACAGTGTCCCACAAGAGTGCCCCACAAGAGTGTCCCACAAGAGTGTCCTACAGGAGTATCCCACAAGAGTGTCCTACAAGAGTGTCCCACAAGAGTTTCCTGCAAGAGTGTCCCACAAGAGTGTCCCACAAGAGTGTCCCGTAAGAGTGTCCCACAAGAGTTTCCTACAAGAGTGACCCACAAGAGTGTCCCACAAGAGTGTCCTACAACAGTGTCATTTGGACATATGTAGCTTTTTGAACGTGTTTGCATTCGGGTTCGTGGGCTCCATCTTGTTTTTTCGGGAAGACCGCCAAAGACGGAAGAGGCGAGGAAGTGGTCGTTGGGTTTTTACAGGTGGTGAGGTGGTGTTGATTTTCACCCAAAAGGGTGAGGAACCGACCTGATTTTACAGTTGGTCATCTAAGAACACTACTAATAACTCACTCATGCAATATGGAGTTTTGAGGGCCAGGTTTGGACCTGGGTCAGACTGGAGGACCTGTAGAGATTGGTTGGTTCAGTGTAAAATTGGATCGGTATGGTGTTTGGAGGGGGTCCATGTATACGGTTTGCTGCCAAGATGCCAGCATGAAACATTAGCTTGTGAGAAGGGCAAGCGGAGCAGTTGAAAGTTAGCTCTAGCATGCTCTAGCAAGTTTCCATTGGACTAAGTACTTGACTACCTTGACCCTCCCATTTCGAGTCGTCTTAGCCCGGGTGGGACCCGTCCTCCTTCGGCCGACCGGGTCGAGTCGCCGCCCCTGGCGTTTCGGTGGAGAAGGGACCCGAAAACGGAGCCTGTTTGGGTCCGAAACCCCGGGCACCGTGGTATCGGTGGGCTTCTGGTGCTCCGGACAACTGACCCGTCACTGGTCACCGGTCACTGCCTGAAAACAAATGGTGGAATTCAGAACACGGAATCACGGAACCGAAAAAGATCAACATGTCATGTCGTATTCTACGGAGCGTGGTCATACAAAAGCACGGACCGAAAGATGTCCAAAGGCAGGTTTGGACCTGGGTCAGTCGGACGTATGTAGGGAATAGCTGTAGGCAGATGCGACCGGATGCGCTTGGAGGGGGCATCGGTAGGGGACCGCCTTTGGGACGATTTGTTTGCTTTTGTTGCGCCCCCGCCATGTCTGGGATTTGTTCCATCCTCATTGTTTTTGGGAAGGTGTTGGATTTGTTAAGTCTAGTAGTATTGTCATGGTCCAGCACCATTTCATCCCCTCAAGGAAACCGCTTCTGTTCAACCACGGATTTGACACGATCGGTACCAAGACCTTCAGGTCGTGACCATACTTTGTAGATCTTTGTAGTTGTTTGTTTGTCACCTGTCAAACAGGCCTGTTTGAGACCTCAATCAATTCTGATCAAGTTCGCTTACTGATCCTAGTATAGAGGATATCAGGATCTTGTGCCAAAAGTCTTCCACTTCCGGACCAACTTGTGGGAAGGTTGGTTCATTCATGCATCATCTGTCGGCAGCGATCGCTAGGAAGAAGCCCAGCCCAGTGAGGAAGAACGCTGACCGCGTCTTGCTGTCTTCGACGATCCCGCGACGCGCGACGGTCGCCAGCTTTGTGTTCCTTGCACGGCCTGTGTTTGAATCACCCAAGTCATTCCACCAGTTGTCACATCAACCAGGGCTGGGTCAAGCTGGTGTACATCGTCCGATTGCGGATGCGACTGCTTCGCCCAAAGCTGGCGGAGTGGAGGCGAGTCAGCACCGATGCGAGAAAGAGACGTGGAAGCAGCGGCCGTGTCCCAGACTTGGAAGCTGAATAGATCCCAGACACTCCACCCCATACCACCCCAATGTATGTAAATATGGCAGTCCCATGCAGTGTATGTTTTTTTTGGCTGAATCTTCAAACACTTCTGCAAGACTTGGACCGACACATCTCTTGAGTCCAAAAAGATCCACTCTCAAAAGGCGCAAGGATTGTTGTTTTGTAGATCTTGCTTTGGTCTTCAAGCGAAATGATCAGCATTGCCTCTCAGAGGTCTTTATACCCCGATCACTCACAAGGAAGCCCAAGATATCTTGCCACTTGCAGTGCCTGCTAGCCGTTCTTTGTGCTCTTCAACTGTGTCAGTTTCTGACTTGCCTTTATGCACCAAAACCAAGCGGTTGCCAATAGAGTAAGCGGTTGTGGGATATAGAATTGCTACACAATAAGCGACGACACTGTTGTGTTTTCCTTGAACAAATGGCGGCAGTCGATACGTACAGCGCAGTGTGAGATGTATGTAAATATGTCTTACATGGAGTGTCTGGGAACTAAAAGGGACAAGGAGGATGAGGATGAGGAGGAGGAAGAGGTAGTTGAGGCACACATCCATTCAAGGGACAATTCTACAGCTACCACATAAGCAGCATCGAAGACATATCCACAAAACACGCCGGTTCTTTGATTGCGGATTTTGGGTAGGTCGGGCTTGGTTGGTTAAATCGTTGTTCTTGTCGTCGCCGTCATCTTGGATTTGGGTTTGTGTTGTTCTTTTGTTTTGATTGTATAGATAGTGTTGATTGTATAGTTGGTGTGTTTGATTGTACAGAGTTTATGCTAGTTTATGGTGCTAGTTTATGGTGCTATTCAGCCACTGTTTTGTCATGAAAGGCAAGCCAAACATGTTTGGACACATATTGCCAGAACCACTCGACAGGACCCTCGTCCACGTCAAATGTCCTTTCAACCAATGTCAGTGAACCGCATCCGAAAAAAGAGGCACGGTAGACCAAGACAAAACTGGGTGCACTACACAAAAAATATGTTTACGAAGAAACACTGTAACAGTTTAACTTTGAAGAGACCATTCAAGAGGATGCACGCATATTCAATGCAGCCAGTGCCAGATACTTTTAAAAAAAATGCAGGCACGCTTGGCTATGCCAACGCCTTTCTTCCGCTGTTGACATGTCGTGGAAGCAGGGTAGAGCAAAAAAGAGTTATTGTTTGTTGCGTTGGTGTTTGGGCGTTGATTTTGAACAGACGCCACTTCAGCACTGTGATCGTGCTGCTTTGTCACACACACATTCATCGTGCCTTGGCCTTCGATGGCATACTTGTACACTTTGCTTTGAGGAATGCACACTATCCCCACCGAAGACATGTCGCAAACTTCACAGTTAATGGAACATTTCTTTGTACTTTCTGTACAGTGCGTAGATCACAAACCTCCTCGTGGCTTAGGATGCAGGGAAAAGACACATCACTGGCCCCATCTCACCTCAAGTTGTTCTCTAACGTTGGAACCATTTGACGTTGGCGCACGGCGTGAGGAGGTCATGAATTGTGCAGCCAAATGATTTGGTTGTTTGGAATCAAGAACTCTCAAGACGCCAACAAGGGGCATTAGGAAAATGGATTCCTCACAAAGGCCACATCATTTTTTGTTGCGGCCGAAAGGCACCCTGAAACGATCAGTGGCTGCTTTGTGGATGAAGGGATCCTGAGCTGCAGTTCCACGTTCCAATAGAGCCTGGAGACGGGTGAAGGTTGGGATTTCACCAATTGTTGTGTTTGAGTTAATTCATTCATATTCATTCTAAGTCCGTATGTGAATGGAAGACTGCCTTTGCAATGATCTTGGGAGGCCGTTGCCTCTAGGTTGGAGGCCATCGGCTTTGGAGGCCATTGCTTGTAGGTTAACGCTACGTTGGAGGCCATCACGGTTGGAGGCCATCGCTACTACTGTAGTTACTAGTTTGGAGGATATTGCTTCTAGGTTTGCCTTTGGAACGATCTTGGGACCAAGAATAAAGATTTGGGAAAACTCAAGAAAGATTTACGGCGGCTATCATTTTAGAATATATATTTGGTTTGGCATCACGGTGGAATTTGGCAGTCTACCTCCCGTCATGCCCATGGTTCTTGTTCTGCAGCCGCCTGTGAGCTGAAAGAGGCAGACTTCTCCAACCCAAATTCTAGCGAATCTGCACATGATGTGCGGCATTTTCCAAAAGCAGAGGCTGTTTGGCCTGATTTCAGATTGGCTGCCATGACATGCTGTTGTTGGGCTTCCTCAAACAGCGTGGTATGCACGATATGGGATATAGAATCTAGAATTGGGCGGAGCTTACCACCCAAAGTCTTTTGAGCGAATCTGCACATGATGCGCGGCATACTTGTGGCACTGCTGTGCGGATGGGCGCTGGCTGATGTTCCTGAAAGAGATGAGTCGTGCGAGCCGCTGGAGGTGGGGTTGCATCGATTTGCATCGTCTGGAGATCTGTTCATGTGAACCTCGCACGTTGTCGGGGTTTTCATGTCGGGCATGCCGTTTCTGTTTGTTTTTGATGGTCCGCGTAGGTTTCGGCTGTTTCGAAGACTTGAAAAAGAGCTTAGCTTTCTCACCACGCAGGACCCGTCAGTCCTGATGCAGCTGGGTACGAAAAATGGCTTTGCCAGGGCCCAAGGTCGTTTGTCACCGATTGCTGCTTTCCTTGAGTTGTCATGCTACAAGCCCCAGCCGCAGACTAGAAACTCCACACTCGAGGTCGCATGGATGAAGAGCCTCAGTGGAGACGTGACCGCCACGTGCGATTTCGATGGGGCCAACCCGTTCGGAATCCAATTCATCGACCCGCTTTATTATTGCTTTGGCAACCCGCCGACTTGCTTTTGTGCCTTGGCGTGGCGTTCACGCTGCAGTTTCTTGTACTTCCGAATGCGTTTTCGAGTCGAGGTGGCGGCAACCAGAAAGATGATCCAAACTGCTACTTGGCCACCTCCACCTCAACCCCCAAAGTGTGCGATTTCGACGGCCGCCAGACCTCGTGCAGATTGGTCTTGCTAGGATTTGCCACTGAACTTTGCTTCACGCCGCCACCCAACACACGGATCCTTGGAGCCTGTGTGGAGGGAGGCGGCCCCACACAATGTTGGTACCGGAGTTGCAAGCCTTCAGGGGATCCATTGGCACCAAGCTGTGAAAAAGTCGGCACATGCTATCAAGAGGGCGAGCCCGCAACAGAATGGTGCGTCGTGGGCCCGGATGGCGGTACCCTGGTTGCCTACAACGTGTTGCTTGAGTGCTGTGACAGAGCCACCACATCACAACCAACGACCTCTCCGACCACATCACCACCAACGACCTCTCCGACCACGTCACCACCAACGACCTCACCGACCACGTCACCCACGACCTCACCGACCACGTCACCAACGACCTCACCGACCACGTCACC